TCCCAGGTGTGTTCTGGTGTATCCCACTATATCCCAGTGTACCCCAGGTTTGTCCCTGCAATGTCCCCAGTGTCACCTTGCCGGTGACGTGCATCCTGCTGCCGTTACACGCCCTCATCATGACCCATGATGTGTCCCCAGTGTATCCCAGTATATCCCAGTATACCCCAGTGTACCCCAGGTGTATCCCGGTGTGTCCCCGCAGTGTCCCCACGGTGTCCCCAGTGTCACCTTGCCGGTGACGCGCATCCTGCTGCCGTTACACGCCCTCATCATGGCTCGGGGCTGGTCTGGGTGTGTCCCCAGTGTATCCCAGTGTACCCCACTGTATCCCAGTGTATCCCAGTGTACCCCAGGTGTATCCCAGTGTGTCCCCGCAATGTCCCCAGTGTCACCTTGCCGGTGACATGAATCCTGCTGCCGTTACACGCCCTCAGCATGGCTCGGGGCTGGTCCGGGTGTGTCCCCAGTATATCCCAGTGTACCCCAGGTGTATCCCAGTGTGTCCCCGCCGTGTCCCCGGTGTCACCTTGCCGGTGACGCGGATCCTGCTGCCGTTGCACGCCCTCAGCATGGCTCGGGGCTGGTCGGGGTGTGTCCCCAGTGTATCCCAGTATATCCCAGTGTATCCAAGTGTACCCCAGTGTATCCCAGTGTACCCCAGCTGTGTCCTGGTATGTCCCCGTGTACCCCAGGTGTGTCCCCACGTTGTCCCCAGTGTCACCTTGCCAGTGACACATCCTCAGCATGGCTCGGGGCTGGCCCGGGTGTGTCCCCAGTGTATCCCAGTGTACCCCAGCTGTATCCCAGTGTACCCCAGGTGTATCCCGGTGTGTCCCCACAGTGTCCCCACTCTGTCCCCACTCTGTCCCCAGTGTCACCTTGCCGGTGACGCGCATCCTGCTGCCGTTGCATGCCTGGAGCATGTCCCGGGTGTGTCCCCAGTGTATCCCAGTATATCCCAGTGTACCCCAGTTGTATCCCAGTGTATTCCTGTGTACCCCAGGTGTATCCCGGTGTGTCCCCACAGTGTCCCCGCCGTGTCCCCGGTGTCACCTTGCCGGTGACGCGGATCCTGCTGCCGTTACACGCTCTCAGCATGGCTCAGGGCTGGCCCGGGTGTGTCCCCAGTGTATCCCAGTGTACCCCAGTGGTATCCCAGTGTGTCCCCGCCGTGTCCCCAGTGTCACCTTGCCGGTGACGCGGATCCTGCTGCCGTTACACGCTCTCAGCATGGCTCGGGGCTGG